GAAATGTAATGATTTTAGTAACAAATTCTTTATAATAAAAATCGCTTTCAAAGTGGTCAAATAGTTTATTATTCTTATTTTGATTATTCTTATTTGGTTGGAATACAATTAACTGCAATTAAATATTTTTTCATATAAATTAAAATAAATGTAATGAATAAATGTAATAATATACTTAAATATAAAATTTTTTATATCTTTGTATTTCTTTTTATGAATTTTATATCTCGTTACTGTCCAATTCTCATATAATTAACAGATTGGCAGTCAGATGTTTAGCAGTAATACATCTACACCAAATATATAATATTGTTACAAGATCAGAACAAAAAATTTTACAGATTTATATAATTATACACAATAATTGCACGTATTTAATTTTGGAATAAAATTAGTTCTACATACTGTCTCTATTACTCAAGAATTTCTTTGAATATATCTGGAATAAATTGTTCAGAAAATTAATAGTTAATATTATATTAATAATTAATATTATATAATTAATAATATTATATTAATAATAAATGATAGTACATTAATAAATTGTTTTATTATATTGATAGCTTCTCGTATAAACGTATTAATTTAATTTTCTCTGGTTTGTTAACATGACAATTATATATTTTATATTAATCTTTATTTTAAAAAAACTTTTAACCTGCTGAAAAAGTCTTAGTGTAGCCGGAACGTTCGAATATTTAAATTTATTTGTCAAGTCACATTATTTAGATTTGTGTTTATAAAAATTTTTTTGTATGAATTATGCTTGTTTTGTTCACTCTAATAGTCATCTTATTTCTTCTATTTTTTTGTTTTATATAGAGAAACTGTTTATATATGTTCTCTTATTATAATACATTATTGGTTTTATAGTTCAACAATAGGTGCGATAAGAAAAATTTGAAATAGAAAACATAATAAGTAGAAAAATATGTTTATTTTAAAATAAACATATTTGTTCTTTCTCGGATATTTTTCAAGCTTTAAATGTTTGCTTTAAATGTTTATTTATTATTAACAAGAACGTTATATCTACCGATCTTCAGTGCGAGCTTCAGTTGCCAGTCGTTTAGTTGCCTTATCCGTCAGAGAGTGCCTAGAAGCTAATTGAATTCAATTTATTTTATTTAATTCTTATCGGAAGACGATTTCTCAATATTCTGGTTAGTATCTTTATTTCTATTTGTTGTTATATTATG